GGGTTTCTGAGCTAGTCAATATTGGTGGCCTTATTTCTTAGTCACCCCCTCTCTCCAGCTAAGTCAAGAGTCTGGTGCCAATCAAGTTCCCGAAGGACCACAGCTACAGTCAAGGTGCCCAGAGTACCAGCAAATGACACAGCTGCATCTGGAAAGCAGTCACCTGGTCCCATGTGTCAGGGGTGAGGGGCCTCCTCCACCACCCATCTCATCTCTGTGTCCATCATGATGGTCCAGGCCTGTCCCAGTCCCCAAGCTCAATGAACTTCCGTTGCTGGAAAGAGGCAACCAAATCTGACCAGCCTCAAGGCTGCAGCTTCACACCAGGCTGGCTAGTGGGCGTTTAACACCTTCCCCTGGCAGAGAAGCTAAGCCGCAGAAATGAGCTTGGGTTACATTCCAGCATCCAGCCAACTTGGCAGCCCCACGGGTCAAGGCTGGTGTACAGCCAGACGTGAGTCCAGTACAACTAAAGGCATAAAACAGTACTTTGCTGCAGAGGTATGCATTCATGGGCAGGCTTTGTCAACAGTGCCTCACCCACAGTCTGTGATTTCTGCTACCATGCTCTTCCTGACCCCCTTCCTGACAGCTGTCCCCACTTCCCATCTCCTCTGGGCACCCGGAACCCTGCATCTTCCAGATGCTGCCTCTGATGCTGCCGATGAGGAGGGCTGCAGGCTGTGGGTGGACAGCAGCCTACAATGCCAAGTCTAGTCCCATGGCAAACCTCAGACTAATCTAACCCTGCCCAGCTAGTCCATGGCTCTGAGGTTGTCTCACCAGTCTTGCATGTCAGAGCTTCATCACAAGCTGGAGCTTGACTCAAAAAGAGCAAGAAGATCCCTCATCATGAACATCTGAGCTTCCGTGGAGGCTGTGCCTGGGATCGTGACTCTGGAACATCAAAAACAATCTTCATCATGAACATCTGACTTCGGTGAAGGTTACAAGAGTTCTCAGCGCTGGAATATCAAATGGACCCCTCATTGTAGACATCAGAGCTTCACTGGAGACTGGAGGTGGGGTCTTAATTCTGAACATCAAGAGTCCCACTCATCATGGACATCTCTGCTTCATCGAGGCTGGAGCTGGGGATTCAGTTCTGGAACATCAAGAGGGCCACTCATCATGGACATCTGAGCCTCATTAGAGTTTGGAGCTGCAGTCTCACTTCTGGAACATCTAGAGGGCCACTCATCATGGACATCTGAGATTCATCAGAGGCTGAAGCTGCAGTTTCACTTCTGGAACATTAAGAGGGCCACTCATCATGGACATCTGAGATTCATCAGAGGCTGAAGCTGCAGTTTTACTTCTGGAACATCAAGAGGGCCACTCATCATGGACATCTGAGATTCATCAGAGGCTGAGGCTGCAGTCTCACTTCTGGAACATCAAGAGGGCCACTCATCATGGACATCTGAGCTACTTGTAGGCTGGAGCTGCAGTCTCACTTCTGGAACATCAAGGGGGCCACTCATCATGGACATCTGAGCTGCATCAGAGGCTGGAGCTGCAGTCTCACTTCTGGAACATCAAGAGGGCCACTCATCATGGACATCTGAGCTACTTGCAGGTTGGAGCTGCAGTCTCACTTCTGGAACATCAAGAGGGCCACTTATCATGGACATCTGAGCCTCATTAGAGTCTGGAGCTGGGGTCTCAGTTCTGGAACATCAAGAGGGCCACTCATGAACATCTCAGGCTCATTAGAGGCTGAGGCTGAGGTTTCAGTTCTGGAACATCAACAGGGCCACTCATCATGGACATCTGAGCCTCATTAGAGTCTGGAGCTGGGGTGTCAGTTCTGGAACATCAAGAGGGCCACTCATCATGGACATCTGAGCCTCATCAGAGGCTGGAGCTGGAGTCTCAGTTCTGGAACATCAAGAGGGCCACTCATCATGGACATCTCAGGCTCATTAGAGGCTGGAGTTGAGGTCTAAGTTGTGGAACAGCAGAAGGGCCACTCATGAACATTTCAGGCTCATTAGAGGCTGGGGTTGAGGTTTCAGTTCTGGAACATCCACAGGGCCACTCATCATGGACATCTGAGATTCATCAGAGGCTGAAGCCGCAGTCTCACTTCTGGTACATCAAGAGGGCCACTCATCATGGACATCTGAGCCTCATCAGAGGCTGGAGCTGGGGTCTCAGTTCTGGAACATCAAGAGGGCCACTCATGAACATTTCAGGCTCATCAGAGGCTGAAGCTGCAGTCTCAGTTCTGGAACATCAAGAGGGCCACTCATCATGGACATCTGAGCCTCATTAGAGTCTGGAGCTTGGGTGTCAGTTCTGGAACATCAAGAGGGCCACTCATCATGGACATCTGAGCCTCATCAGAGGCTGGAGCTGGGGTCTCAGTTCTGGAACATCAAGAGAACCACTCATCATGGACATCTGAGCCTCATTAGAGTCTGGAGCTGGGGTCTCAGTTCTGGAACATCAAGAGGGCCACTCATGAACATTTCAGGCTCATCAGAGGCTGGGGTTGAGGTTTCAGTTCTGGAACATCAACAGGGCCACTCATCATGGACATTTCAGGCTCATTAGAGGCTGGGGTCGAGGTCTCAGTTCTGGAACATCCACAGGGCCACTCATCATGGACATCTGAGCCTCATCAGAGGCTGGAGCTGGGGTCCCAGTTCTGGAACGTCAAGGGGGCCACTCATCATGGACATCTCAGGCTCATTAGAGGCTGGAGTTGAGGTCTCAGTTCTGGAACATCAGAAGGGCCACTCATGAACATTTCAGGCTCATTAGAGGCTGGAGTTGAGGTCTCAGTTCTGGAACATCAACAGGGCCACTCATCATGGACATCTGAGCTGCATCAGAGGCTGGAGCTGCAGTCTCACTTCTGGAACATCAAGAGGGCCATTCATCATGGACATCTGAGCCTCATTAGAGGCTGGAGCTGGGGTCTCAGTTCTGGAACATCAAGAGGGCCACTCATCATGGACATCTGAGCCTCATCAGAGGCTGGAGCTGGGGTCTCAGTTCTGGAACATCAAGAGGGCCACTCATCATGGACATCTCAGGCTCATTAGAGGCTGGAGTTGAGGTCTAAGTTGTGGAACAGCAGAAGGGCCACTCATGAACATTTCAGGCTCATTAGAGGCTGGGGTTGAGGTTTCAGTTCTGGAACATCAACAGGGCCACTCATCATGGACATCTCAGGCTCATCAGAGGCTGGGGTCAAGGTCTCAGTTCTGGAACATCCACAGGGCCACTCATCATGGACATCTGAGCCTCATCAGAGGCTGGAGCTGGGGTCTCAGTTCTGGAACATCAAGAGGGTCACTCATCATGGACATCTCAGGCTCATTAGAGGCTGGAGTTGAGGTCTAAGTTGTGGAACAGCAGAAGGGCCACTCATGAACATTTCAGGCTCATTAGAGGCTGGGGTTGAGGTTTCAGTTCTGGAACATCCACAGGGCCACTCATCATGAACATCTCAGGCTCATCAGAGGCTGGAGTTGAGGTCTAAGTTGTGGAACATCAACAGAGCCACTCATCATGGACAGCTGAGCTTCATCAGAGGCTGGTGCTGCAGTCTCAGTACTGGAACATCAAGAGGGCCACTCCTCATGAACATCTCAGGCTCATTAGAGGCTGGAGCTGGGGTCTCAGCTCTGGAATATGAAGAGGGCCACTCATCATGAATGTGTGAGCTTCTTTACAGACTGGCACTGGAGTCTCAGTTCTGGACTTCATGAGGACCACTCATCATAAACAACTGAACTCCTTTCAATGCTGGAACTGGGGTGTCAGCTCTGGACAGTTTAGGGGTCCCTCATTCTGGAATACTCAGCTTCATCAAAGGTTTGCACTCTAGCCATCATTCACATGCCTCTCCTGTACTGCCAGGCCTCTGTTGACTGGGCATGGACTGGTCTGGGTGAAACAGACTGTGGAGGCCTCCTTCTGCTGGTCTCACTGCTGCCTGAACATCACTTAGCAGCATCCAGATCTCTCTCTCCATCCGAGACTGTGGTCAGGTCTCCTGGGTGGGACATAGCCACGGTTCCCTGGTGGTTCTTCATCTTTGAGAAGTAGCCACGCTCAGCTCCATGCACTAATGGCTGGACTCACTTTTATTTCTCTTGTGGTACCTCATTGGGAGAAGGGAGAAAAGAGGAGGGGAAAGAAGAAAAAGAGAAGAACAAGGAGGGAAAGGGGGAAAGGAGAGGAAGGAGGAAGAGGTGGCAGTGGCGGTGGCTTTGACGATGACAATGGCGATGGTAGCAGTCAGCACTTCCTTCCCACGGGTTGCGTGTCCAGCTCATCTGCTCCAGTGATGCCATTTGGGCCAGCCCGAAGACTCCATGTGGACTAGGATCTGAAGCTCTCTACCCTTGCTCCTTCAACCCTGCTTCAGGCCCAGCCACACACTAGTAGCCAACAGCTGGCGAGTCTCAGGGAGCTACTCTCAGGACCCCTGCCATGAAGGGGGCACACCTGAGGCTGGGTCCCCCTCAGTGATCACCTTATGAGTAAGTGCTGGCCCAGGGTCACAGGCAGGCTGGACCTGCTTGGCCACCTGCTTGCCATCAGTTCAAGAATAACAAGTAGTTGGCCACAGCCCTGCCATGACTCTGGGAACGTGTGAGGAGAGGGACGAGGAGTCAAAGCCCTAGGGGCAGGCCCAGGCAGGTACAGAAGCCAGGACAGTGAGCTCAGCTCAGACTTCCTCCACCACCTCTGTCCCTTCCTTTCCAGAAAGACACCTGGCAACCTACCACCATTAGAAGAACAAGGACAAGCTGGGCTCATTCATCCAAATGGGCACCAATCTTGGGGCCTTCCCAAGGCCAAGCTTGCTTTGGGACATCCTACCACCCCTCAGTGCTGGATGGACAGGGGATAAGGCAGAGACCAGAGTGGACTCCCCTGCCCCTCCCACCATCACACCGCCCTAAGTGAGGGGACGCCCCAGTGACAAAGGATGTCCAACATGCATCACCCCTCATATAAGCAGCATATCCATCACTGTGTTTGTTAAGGCAAAAAACACATTTATTGAGGGCACAACAGGGTGTGTGTCACACCCCAGGTCAGGCACAGTCCAACAGCATCACAAGCCCCTCACAACAACCCTGTGAGGTAGGTGTGGGAGCCCCAGGTCACAGATGCAGACGTCGAAGGCGCAGCTGGACCCCTAAGTCTCAGGGTTCGTGAGGGTGGGCAGGGGGGTCAAGCCCGAGTGTCTGGCCCTCTGATTAGTGAAGTCCATCAGTCAAAGGGTGGGTGGCTACTGCAGGGGAGGCGGAGGAGGGCGCGCCCCTCCTCGCAGGGGCAGCCCGGGTCCAGAGTCTTTGGGTCCAGCCTGTCCTGTGGGAGTGTGTGCAGGGCGTCCCCGTGGCTGTGGAGGCTGAGAGAGACACAGGTGCAGATGAAGACCACCTGCTCCCCCTCACCCTGGCTAACAAGAGTTCTCAGGCACACAGGTAGGCCAAAAGCAAGGCCAGGAGAGACACCCACTGAACACCAGAGAGCTGGGACAGCTCGGGAAATGCCCCAGTTGCCAGCGCCCTGGGTGGGGAGCCTCCGGCCACCAGCCCCCCCCTCGTCTACCCAGTGCCTTTCAACCTCTCGTGTCCTGTACACCACCCGCCCCCGCATGGACTGCCAGAAGGCTAGCCCTGGCCACGGCACCCCAGCTCCCCTGGCCACCCACTGCCAAGTACATCTGACTGCGTTCTAAAGCATAGGCCTCACCCTCCTCTAGTGGCTTCTAGAACTTCTCCTGACCCTCCCATTTTGGCCTCCACCCCCTCCTCTCCAGACCTATTCGCTCTCTGTATTGAAAAGCACACCTCCCCTCACTCACGGTCTCCGAGGGCTCACCAGGAGCTCCTCCCCTACCCTCCGCCCCATCCCACAGTCCCCTGGGCCACAGAGTCCCAGGCGGCTCAGGGCTCTGTGAACAGAGCCCCCCAGGAGAGAAAGGTCAAGGGTGCCTGTGTGCCAGATAAGGAAGCATTTGTTTTTTATATAAATAACCTCACTAGAGCAGCAACCACGCCAGGTGGAGTGACTAGCTCCTGATTACAGCGCAGCTCACACAAAGGCGACATCCCGCCCCACAGTGTCCCCCGGCTGTTCGTCAAAACCTGTTCCCACCAACTGCAAATCAGCCTGCCCTGCCAGCCCCTCCTCCTGGCCCCAAGCCCACCCCAGGGGCACATGTAGCACCCCTTCCAAGCCAGTTCCAAATCCTGTTTGCCCAGATCCTCAGAACAGCCCTACGGGGAGGGTGCTCGCTGCCCTAGCCACTCCTGCCTGCCCCCCAGAAGACAGACCCCAGCTGTCACCATTTGAAGCCTCACACATTGGTCTAGTGCCAAGGGCCTGGCTGTGCCGAGTCTACCTGCAGCCCAACGGAACAAATAAAATGCCCCATCCTCTGCAGGGCCCCCAAGACCCACGCCTTGTCCCACGCAGGCAACAGCGGGCTAATGCAGGGCCCCCCTGGCCAGGGACCTGCAGGGATGCTGGGTGCTGTCCCCAGCATGCGCGAAGTGCCGTGTGCCTCAGACACCCCGGTGCGCTGATGAGGCGGCTGTGAGGACCCCTCGCAGAGCAGGATCCTCGTCATCCGTGTGAGCAATCATCTCCCCCGATTTTCTCCAAATGGAGCCGGCATTAACTCAGCCCGAATGGGACGGGAATAGCTCTAAGATCCCCTCCAGGCTGCCAGGACCAAGGCGTGCTAATGACTTGAAAGCCAGCTCCCCCGGCGCCAACTGCTCCCCTCAGACCCCCCGGCTCTCATCCAAGCCTCTCAAGGCTGTGGCCTGTGATTTCGGGCCGTGCGGGGAACTCAGTTTACTGATTACTAATCAACCTAGTTTTGTGAAGAACAAAGTTGGAGAAGACGAACTTTCAACAGAACACAGACTGGGAAGCAGCAGCTGCATCAAGGGCCTCGCCCAGTGACTGCCGCACAAACGCAGCCCCTCGTGAACCAGCTCAGGTCCCTCTCCAAAGGAGAGGTCGAACGAGCCCTGTGCACCAGCCCTGGTACGGCACCAGCTGGGTTTTCAAAACATGTGCTCACCGTGGGGGGCGAAGAGGGTGAGGAGGGAGGGGCCTGGGGGGGGACATCTCTGCTGGTGTGTGGTGCACAGGACAGCACCACGGGGAAAGAAGTCATGTGGTGGCAGTAGCAGAGGGGACTTTGCCCCTTGAAGGGTGGAAAAGACACTCCTGCTCCACCAGAGGAACAGAGGGCAAGTCTGTAAATCATAAATGCGTGAGTCTGCCCAGAGGACACGACCCTCCGGGTTACCCAGCTACCAAATGGAAGATGTCACCTCCACAAAATGCAAGTCAAACACACCTGAAAGGCCATCTGGGCCAACCGCACTCCCACTATTTGAATCTTCTCAAAACTACCCTCAGTGAGTATCTACCTAGCCTGCCCTTTGTATACCTCCAGCGATGGAGGGCTCACTACATCCCATGAAAGCCCACTTCAGCATTGACCAGCCTTACTAGAAAGCTGTGACCCGATAAACCTGGACGAACAAACAGTTCACAGAAAATAAAACACACTCCGTTAGCAAACATGTGTGAAAATGGTCAACCTCACTAATGGTTCTGCGCAAACACCACTAATGGTTCATTAGTGATCAAAGTAATCCAAGTTAAAATGACAGGGAAAAAAGCCTTTATAACAGAAATAAACAAGCAATACCTTAACAAAATGCTGATACAATACTATACATTATACAATGCTAAAGGCCTCCTGAAATTAGTATTCCTGGCCTTTCATTCCAGAAGCTCAACCCTAGGGAATGCCATTTCTTCACTCACCAATCCACTTCTTCATCCTTACATCCCTTCAGCCATCAACCACTGACCCACACACTCACATGTCACCCACCCTTTCATCACCGCAGCCGACAGCCAAGCAGTGACCCACTCACTACACCTTCATCCACCCTTCTGTCCTCTCTCACCCACCAGCCATTCGCTGACTACTCCATACACCTCCATCCATCCCTCCATCCTCTCATCTATCAGCCAACCATTCACCCAGTCACTACACATTTTCATCCACCCCTCTATTTCCAGTCAGCCAGCAATTCCCCCACATACTACATATAATCGATCCTCCATTCTCTCGTCTATCAGCCAACCATTCACTGACTACTACGTCGTGCATCCTTCCATCCCCTCATTCATTAACCAATCACTGATGACTCACTACATCTTCATCCATCTCTCATTCCTTAATCAATCAGCCAGTTACTGATACACGACTGCATCTTCAGTGTTGGCTGATGGACGAGAGTGTAGTGCACCTTCATCCATCCTTCCATCCTCACATCCATCAGACAACCAATGACCCACACTCATATCTCTGCCATCATCACGTACACCTGCCAACCAATGATCCAGTCACTCTATCTTCATCCATCCTTCCATGTGTATCCATCAACCACCCACTTCCTACTCACTACACATCCTCATCTCTCCTCAAATCCTCATTCATCAGCCAACAAAACACCCACTCACTACATCTTCATGTCCCTCCATTCTCTCATTCATCAGCCAATCATTTATTCACTCACCTCACACTTCGTGCATCCTTTCATCCTCTCACCAATCAGCCAACCACTAACGACACTTACATCATCCATTCCTCTGTCCTCATCATCAGCCAATCATTCATTTGCTCACAACTGTATCCATACTTGCATTCTCTCATCCATCAGCCAACAACTCACTCATTATCTCTTAACCCATTTCCCATCTTCTCATATATTAACTTGTCACTGAACACTCACAGCATCTTATTCCATCCCTCCACCCTCTTATCCATCAGCCAATCATATTCACTCACTACACCTCTGTCCATCCTTCCAAACTCTCTTGCATCAGCTAACCAATCATCCATTCATTGTGTCTTCACCCATCTTTCCATCCCCTAATCCAATTATTCACATCTTCATCCATCATCCCATCCTTCCTTCCACTCCCTCATTCATCAGCCAATCATTCCTCCATGCACTGTAACCTCATCCATCTTTCCAATCTCTCATCCATCAGCCAACCATTAACCACTCATTCATCTTCACACTGATATCAACGTTTTCTCATTAATCAGCAAATCACTCACCCACTCACTGCACCTTCATCCACCCTTCCATCTTCCCACCCATTAGCCAGCCACTAAACCAATCATTAACATCTTCATCCATCCTTTTATCCTTACATTCCCTTATTCAGCCAAAGAATCACCTACTCAGTACAACTTCAGTTATCCTTCAGTTCTCTCATCCATCAGCCAATCATTCATTCACTCAATACACCTAAATCATCTTTTCAAAACCCTCTCATTCATCAGCCAACTCACTCACTACATATATTATCTCCCCTTCTGTCTTCTCGTCCATCAGCCAACCACTCACCAAAACTAACTACATCTCCATCCATCCTTCCACCTCCCATTTATTAGCCAATCACTGACCACTCATTACCTTCATCCATGCCTCCATCCTCCAATCCAAAAACCAACCAATCACTAACCCACTACATCTTAATCTATCTTTTCATCCTGTCATCCATCAGCCTCATTCATTCATATCTTCACCCATCATCCCATCCTTCTACCCTCCAACAATTAGCCAATCATTGACCACTAATTGTATCTTCATCCTTCCATCTTCATCCACCAGCCAAGCATTCACCCACTCACTACATCTTCATCCATCCTTCCACCCTTTCATCTAACAGCCAAACAACGACATACTTCCTACATCCTCGGTCATCCCTGCATCTTCTTATTCATCAACCAACAACTTACCCACTGACTACATCTTCATTGATCCTTCCACCCTTGCACTCACTAACCAATCACTGACCACTCACTACATCTGCATCTATCCCTCAATTCTCTAATCCATCAATCAACCACTAATGCTCGATTACATCTTCATCCATCCTTCCATTCTCTCAATCATCAGTCAACTAGTCACCTACTCATGACATCTTCAGCCATCCCTTAATCCTCTCATCCATCAGCCAATCATTCATTCACACACTTCACCTTTTTCTATACTTCTATTGATATATTCTCATTCATTAGCCAACCACTCATCCACTCACTACATCTTTATACATCTTTCCATTTACTCATCCATTATTAACCAATCAATGATCCCTCAATACATCTTATTCATTCCTCTGTCCTATCAGTCATCAGCCAATCCTTCCTTCACTCACTACACTTTCATCCATTCCACAGTCCTCTCAACAATGAGCCAACCAGGACCAGTCATTTACATCTTCATTCAACCTGCCATTCTTCCCCCCTCCCATCCATCCATCAGCCAGGAACTCATCTACCAACTACACCTTCAT